CTTTGTCGTTGCCCTCCTTTGTACCTGCCGTTTCCCGCCTCCCTCGTGCTTTCGTCGCCGCCCTCCTTTGTAGCTTTGTTGTTCTCCTTTGTCCCTTTGTAGTTTGTCGCACCTCATTTCACTGGGTTATGTCATATTCTACTTGCACTGTGATATTGTAGATCAAACTAAGATGTCATTGCACTTTTATAAAAACAAACTAAGTCTATCACGAGCGATTCCATCAAGAAATGAGTTATAGCGCAGGAATAATGAAACTAGGGACATTGCTCAAAGGGGACAGGATGGCTGAGTCTGGGATATTGTTATGGTACTGGGGTGCTGCTCGAAGGGGAAAGGATGATTGAGTCTGGGGGAATTGACATTACTGGGTGCTCAGCAGTACACCCACTCATGTTAGAGTTCGAGTTGGCGTTTGGAGTGGTGTTGACATCCTCCGAACCATCTGGTGTCTGTCCAGCTGTACACCCAGTTGTATTAGAGTTCGAGTTGGTGTTCGGAGTGGTGCTGACATCCTCTGAACCGTCTGGTGTCTGTCCAGCAGTACACCCAGTTGTATTAGAGTTCGAGTTGGTGTTCGGAGTGGTGCTGACATCCTCCGAACTGTCTGGTGTCTGTCCAGCAGTACACCTGGTCGTATTAGAGTTCGAGTTGGCGTTTGGAGTGGTGTTGACATCCTCTGAACTGTCTGGTGTCCGTCCATGACTCTGGGTATCTTCGTCGTCACTGGACTCAATGGTCTCCGCACTCTTGTGCTTCTTGCTACATCTGGGGTCAGCTATTGCATGTCGTACTCGCTTCTTACCCTTGTCGGACCGTGTCCTGCGGCAGGACTCGATAATGTCACCACTGTCAATTTTTTCATTGCGCTCGCGACGGAGTTGCTCGAGTTCCTCGTCATTCAACACTTCCCACCTCGTATCGCCCAACTTCCAACAGTCTAAAAGAGTATGGAGGTCCGGAAGCGCGTTGGTCACACTGCTGAGGTTTGTGAATGGGATATGCTCCGGCCATCCTTTGATGGCGACCTGATAGCGGTTGACCACGTTACGAAAGTAGTCTGCCCACTGCATCCTGGCATTGCTTTCTCCGGTCACCTTCCCTATGAATAAAATGAATTCTGTGCTGTCAAAAGATGGGAAAGACTTACTCAATTTCTGGGTGATGATTGCTCGAATGTCTCCGTGAACCTTAGAGACCTCTTTTTGATGGTTGCTTGCGGCACCTAGTACAAATAGAAATTAACTTGAGAATGTAATAACAATGGAAAAACTGTACCTTGTATCCCTTGGATAGCGAAACCTTCCATCTTGCTGAGGAAGTCCTGAGTATCGATGCCGATGACAGAGTCCATAAAGTGATTGACACCCGGCGTTGTGAAGGTGATTGCACGGAGAGGTAGATCAGTAGTACCGCGTGTCATATACAACATGACCTCAGCGCCAGTGCGAGAATTTAAACTATTGAGCTAGTAACGAGACACTTAGTAACATTGTATTGCAATTCGAGGGTGCATACCTCGTTTTCTACCGCCTTCAGGGTTTGAGTGATGTCGTTGATCTTCGACTTCGTTGAGACACGTAACCCAGAGACCTTGGTCTCCTTCTGGTCGGCGAATTCCTGGAGCAACTCTTGTTGTTCTTCCTGTGTGAGAGCGTGGTATTCGTCCTTGTGGTCGTGGACCAGTGACTGGAGTGCTTCCTTTCCGTGGCCATTGCCTGTTAATTCAACATTGAGTCATGAAAATGCATATGATACAAATCAACAGACTTACAGTTCTCTTTCTTCGCTTCCTGAGATTTCTTCCAGCAAAATGTGTTCCAAACGCTGGGCTTTGAATGCTTCGAACGGAGTGATCCCCGACCCATGTATAAATAGTGCTGTACACGACGGAAGCTCTTGCGATGGGTAGCAGCAATGGTTGTTGTAACATCGTCAATTTGGCCCCATGCAAGATCAAGCGCATCCTTGAATTGATGCGACTTCTCGGTTCGCTGAAACTTGAGTGCCGCGTGAGCTTCTTTGCTGAGGGTGACCTTAGGACGACTACGAGGTGGTGCTTGAATGTGCTTCGCAGCATAGAAGGACTGGGAGACCATCACCCACAGAAGGATGGCAAAAATCAGCAAAGGGCCTTTGTAGTTGAATACGAATATTTTATACACACCAATGCATTTATTTTTTCTAACCCACGGCAAAAAAACAGGACACATGGCTCATAACTAAGACTCAAAAGGGGAAAGTGATCTACAGCCAAAATAATAAGATGCCGAAAAAGTATAGGCCGCATAAGAAAATCAATATACCAATAAGCTTCAAAATGGACATGAGGACAGATGACAGCTGCTATGGACATTCAATTAAGTTAGTATGACAGCAGCAGCCAAAATAATATCACTGACCTTTACAACATCAGGGCTACATGGCATGCCCTGAAGGTCAGCCAGGAGCGCCCTAGACAGAATGGAAGCATGTTCATATGAGAGATCCCATTTTGGAGACCTGAACACTGCCTCCCATCGGCTGCTACGCACAGTTTGAACTAGAACACGGAGCTTAGGTAAAACTTCATCCCCCAACTTAATCCAATCCAGAGCGGCGTCAGTATTCAGTCCAATACTAATGAGTGGCGGTCCACATGCAGTATCCTGCTCCAGTCTTGGTACCAAAAAATTGGGCCATCATTAGTTACCTTGCCGGGTGTGAAAATTTCTGCGTGCCTGCGTCGGCGAACTCGTGTGTGTTGGGTGGTCAGCTGTGGTGAAATGTTCTCGCCAATACCTTCGCTCATTTCTGCACCCCCACGGATAGCTGCAGAAGGAGCATCGTGCACCGCAGTTGCTTTCAATTCTTGCTTGAAGGTATGGGCCGGTTGAGCAGAACATTGTATATGCGCTCCAGTAGCAACCACTGGGCCAGGTAGATACTGTGGGCCCTTGACATTGATATGAGCCGCAGAAACTGTTGAATTTGAGTCAGTTGTGTGAACAGTGAAGCTGAAAATGATATACTACTTACAGCATGGTGGCGGTTGGATGTTTTCGATGACACAACATTGATTGAACCGCTCGAGGTGTGGCATTGCAAACTTCTGGGCAAATACCTGCACCCAGACGGCAAGGTCTCCGCCAATTCGCTCGGGAGTTTCTTGTAGTTCACGGGGTGTAATGTAGAGGTCGACAGGGAGGTTTTTGGGTGAAGCGACTGCTTCAGACCCAGCACATCGAATGAGGACAGAAATTCCGCCATCAAGGCGATCTTGCATACTCAGCTGGGAAACAAGTGAGACATAAATAAGATGCGGACACTGACTTGAATGACTCACGGCGTCGAAGACGTCTTGCAGCGATGCCTCCAGAAGCTCCTTGTGGGTAAGGGATTTTTCACTGGTTCGTTTAGCAGTGCTGCTAAAGGCAAAGTATGACGGGTGAAGGCCACCAGGCAGTCTAGCCTGATAGTGTGTCCCGTCAATGTGAACGTCGTGTCTCAGTAAAGCCCTGGCGGCCGCTTGACGTTCGTTATTGCTGAATCCTTGAGCGAACATTGAGTTGTGTAGATTGGCAAGACTGGGGATGGCGAATTTTTTAGTGGCTGATTCCGTGGTTTGACTTGAGGGCTGAACGGAGGTGATAGATGCAGTGGCTCTGAGGCTAGAGATTGGAGTGACCATTGTGGAACCGGTGATGTAGTCTGTAGTTGTGAAGCAAGGTTAAAAGCACGGATAAGCGCCAAAACGTAAAATGTAATACTCACTTTTGCAGGCCATGCAATTCTGGAATGAGTTCCAGAAGCACAGATCAAGCACGAAATAGCAGTGGTCGTAAACCATGAAGAAAATGAAAGGCTGGCGACTTCAAGTTGCTGCTATAGAATTCAGCTGAATACATGTGTTCAGCAGCATATTGCATTGTCCGTGATTTGACACTCAATACAGCACGTGAGCTCACTTTGCAAGATCAGATATCACACAACTACATAGTACAAAATAGTATACAATGCATATTCATACAGGAATGACAAAGGACTATGCTATGAACGGCATGACACTTCAGATAGCCGCATAATCCTCCGAGTCAGGCAAAGAGTCTCCCTAACATTCAAGAAAGCCTACCAGGGGTCGCCAAACTAGCCTATCTGAATATCATCGCGATGAGGTCACCACAGGAGAAAGCTTGAGATTGCCAACTAACCTATCCAAACATCATCAGCATTCAAGTTGGTCCACCTATCCGAACATCATCGGCATTCAAGTTGGATCAAGGTGGGATCGCCAACTCACCTATCCAAACATCATCGACATTCAAGTTGGATCAAGGAATCGCAACGAGGTCACCATGCAGAAAGCTCGGGGTCGCCAACTAACCTATCTGAACATCATAGGTATTCAAGTTGTTCAATTCTTTCTTATATCACCCACACAATCACTTATACAATCGTCTACCTACTCTTTCTTATATCACCGATCGAACCAGAAAACTTCTCATATATGTAGTCCTATGTGGTACATGAAAAAAAACAATTACAAAGCAGAGATGGTGTCAGTCGTTTATTGAGTACAAAAAATCAGCCATGTCTTCGGTGACCACTTCGTGCTCTTCACGGTCAAGGGCTTCAATATCATGGAATTCCGACGCAGAAGAATCAGGATTCTCTGCTTGTGCTGTGGCGAGAATTAATGCGATATAGGTAGTTAAAGATCCACACTCACCGGAACTAGCACCATTGGTATTGACTGGTCTGCTGAACGCAGGATTCGCAAGGCGAGTTCCAATGCCACTAATACCAGAGAATCCAAATAGTCTCTCAATCTGATCTAACCGATATGTGTGCACAGCGTTGATAGCCGCCCGTGAGTGCCACTGGTGTTTCAACTTGGCAGCAAGCAAAGGGTTAGCTACAAGAAGTTTGTCGATAACGGCAGACGTGTCAATGGTTTCATCGTGGATAGCAGTTCGGAGCCGGCGAATTTCAATATTGAGTCGAATAATTTCTTCGCGAGCTCAGCAGAGCTTGAAGTACTTTGTAGTCACCTCACGGTGAGCTGGCCTTGCCCAATCCTTGTCTTGGATGTCAGTATGAGAGTCACGCAGAAGGTCAAACTCACCAAGGAAACTGTATTTGGCAATGTCTTTCCATGCGATCGTTTGTCTCGGTGGGATGAGGGAAGCAGCCTGGATATTGTAGCAATTGATCGCATTGCGAATAGTGTCTGAGCGCCACTGTAAAGCTTTACTAATCTGTTGACGTAGTTTGTATCCTAAACAATTTGTAAACGAATCAGTCATAGTACAAGCGCTTACTAGTAGTGGAAATCTCAAACCTGTGCCCGATAACGAGAGCTTTGAGAGTTCAAACAATCTCATGACGACCAAACGTTCGAGTTCATCCAATGCAGTATGATACTTGCCGAGTGTCGCTTCCTCCTTGAAATGTTTGTATTCGTCACCGCCAATCAACCATCTCTCATCGACAGATAAGAGTGTTTCACAATGAGCAACAAGCCCCTCGGCATGCTGTAATTTGGTGTATGAAGAATTAACTCGGATGCGAGCTTGCTTCAGGGCGTCATGCATCTGTTCCAAGCTGCCGATATGTACTCCATTAAGAGCGTTATTGCCAGATTCACGGGCGAGATCCCATTCAGCTCTATTAAAATTCATATCAGGGGATGGGTGGTAGTTAGTAGTTGATGGCACGATACCTTCTTTCAGCGAGTTCATCTAGTACTTCAACGTAACGTATAGAGAGTCGATCTCGTGGAGCTGGCTGCTTCAAACCATCCAGATATATGCGTTCCTGATCAAAGAATCCAGGGAAGTCGTTGTCGCTAAGGCGTAGCTCGGCCTTGATAGTTTCTAGCTCGGCTGTCAGCAACTGAACAGATTTCAACGCTTTGCGATAATGAGTCCACAAATAATTACCTGACACTGCGGCATCAGTATTACAATTACAGCTTGATTTTTTGACTTACTAAGTGCAGCATACTTATTGGCATCCCAAAAAGCGAAATGTTCCTCGATGGCTTGGTGGCGATGAAAACGGTTAGCATGCCTTGTGCTACGCGCAAGATCGTTAGATGCAGAGAAGATATGCTCACAACCCTCGCCCTCAGTATGGCCAGTTCCAGAGATATACATTGGGTGCCAGTCAAGCTGACACCTTCGATTGTGTGCATGGCCATGGAAGGCGCCAACCATCATCCGAAAGCCAAGATCGTGTGCACGAGGGCCCAATGTACTATTAGCTAACGTCTTCGAGAATGCACAACCGATATCGTACGCGCAACCTCCATTTTTTCCATATACCATAAGGAGTTTGTCGATGATCGCTATCGGATATTTCGCACTGCCAGAATACATTAGTAATATAAAAATTAGATCAAAATGCGGTCTTACAGTTCTCCGCTTCAGATCATATCACACACGAGAAGCACAAAGCGATGGCGGCATGAAGCGATAAAAATACCTGACTCTTGGAATACAGCAAACATCTTCTTACGTGAGTCTGGGCCAGTGTTTCTCCATCGATTGATGCATGTGAATGCTCCCGGATGATCTGGGTCTGTAGGCTCATCCTCCCAGTCGTCATCATTCCTCAAGTCTGTCTAAAAGATAATGTTAGAACATAGTTGTATACATAGTAAACACTTACTTGTCGGGATTTGACTTCATTCTCAAACTTGTCAACAGCGTCAGCATAAATCCAATAATCCGAATGAGCTGTGCGAGAATCAGATCGGGCAGTGGTACCATAGATGGACGAGTTCCATCGCTTCAGGCTATTGTTACCGTCAATTGATACCAGCCATTCAAAATTGAGGGCAGGTTCATCGTCGAGCTTGTAAAAGCATGCAGGGCATGTGTTTAACATACGCCAGTTGACGGTATCCCGTTTGAGCGCCTGACGCAGATGCTGGTTGATGCGATGGAGGATTTCTAGAAAAATGTCATAGGCTGCCGAGAATTGCATTTTTAAGTATGGCCGATATGGAATCTACAAACTCAATGTAAATAAACAAACCTCAATGTGAGGAATGTACGTACATCGTGAAGGTAACATAAAGTCTTGCATTGTGATTGGATACTGAACCGGGGACACGTTCGGTGCGACTGACGGTAGGCAGCGAGTGTACGAAGCGAGATGGCAACAGAAGGATACATCGGGGCACACCCAATGTACCCATAGTAGATGAGGGTTTCATTCGGGTATTGATGAGACGGTAATGGTCGTAGATGCGAGCACCTTCGTGCTGCAAAGAAAAAATAAGTACAAGATATCAAGGAACGTTTCAGACTTACTGAATGTATCAATGAGTTCAATCTCATTAATTGAGAATGAAGCATCGACACCTGACAGGACCTGATCTGAAATATCAGGCATACCATCCCCGGAATCTCGACTGCGATAGTTTAAGTAGGCGTCAATGAGACGATCTATCTGAAGGCCCCAATGAGCGGTTTGAGTATCGATGCGTTCTCCCCGAATTCGTGGATCAATGTGATGACTACAATGGGTGTTAATATTTGAAGAGTTGTACACAGTGGTGAATACGTACTATCCAGTTAGATCCGCCAGTTGATGAGCAAGGTCTTCAAATGCCTCATGCTCCCCACCTGCGTGACTGAGGTCAAAGGCCTCTTCACCTGGAGGCACTGTATGGGTGAACACCTCCACGTCCATTCCAAAATCTGCCATCATATTTTCAACGTGGCTTTGGTCCTCTGCTGACATTTCTAATACAACAATAAGCGTTAATGATAAAAAAAGAAAATAGTACATACCTTGTATAGCAGCCTGGCGGCTGGAATCTGCCTCTGCCATACGCTGGCTTTGTTTGCCGGCTGCCAGGACTTTGGAATAGCGATGACCCCCTCTAAAACCATGGGAAATGATGGATTTCGAGAGCCCTTTGACCCTCCCGACACCTGAGGCACGAGGCATTACTGGGTTGGGGCGACGAAAGCACGAGGGAGGCGGGAAATGGCAGATACGAAGGAGGGCAATGACGAAAGCACGAGGGAGTTGGGAAACGGCAGGTACGAAGGAGGTCAACGACGAAGGTACGAAGGAGGTTGACGATGAAGGCACGAGGGAGGTGGGAAACAGCAGGAACGAAGGAGGTTGACGACAACGACGACAAAGGCGGAACAATGGGGGCACGATGGAGGCGGGGAACGGCAGGGACGATGAGCACAGTGATGAGGAGAGCTAGGAAGCGTGAGAAGGGCCCCTTGGTTTGAATTAGGAAGCGTAGCAGGCGTTGCCGAGCGTGCTGAATTAAAATAGGAATATGACGCAATTGAGGCGGGGCGGGATGCTTACCGAATATAGCCTATGCGTGCGCGCGCCCACCATAGTGAGGTGTACATAGTTTTTTTGAAGGTATTTTGAGGAGCTGGGGCACTATTTAACGCTGGTGTAGGGATTTGATGAAACCAAGCCTAATTATAGTTGGCGAGACACGTAACTACCAAGTATAATAAGGCTTATTAATAGGGCAACCCAGGTGCTTATCCCAGGATACTGTAGACTTTGCGTTTGCTGTCGTGGAGCGGTCTTAGTAGCGGTAACAAGAATGAAAGAAATGTTTGCTTTATTGAAGCAGATAGTTTTTCGGGTGGAAGCCCCGAAGGGGCAACACGGCCCCGATGGTGGCCCCAACCTGTGCGAGAGAGAGCTGAGGTGAACTGCGAGGGCGGGTGGGCATCCTCGCAGCCTCAAACTCAGCAGGTCTAGATACCAGCCATCCGGACCCCTGGAAGAGGGATGTAGTACTAGTATGTAGTTTAAAGTTGACTACCTTTAGGTACCAGTAGCAATGTAGGCTGTGAGGATAAGGGAGTGATGGGTGGGGAAAAGAAAAGCAGAAGGCAGCAGGCTGGTTTGAGCCTGCTGGAGCGTGGCGCGAGCACTGCGTGGTGCGGAGACAAGAGAGGCCATGTGCTGCACTGCCGCTGCCACAAAGTCCTAATTCTAACCCTACGCTTGTTCCTCGCTTCGGGGTATAATATCAATATTTCACTCGATTCGGCACCACCTGTGACATGTGACACACTACATCATTTCATCACCTCGGCATTTGAGGGTATGACACATGACAATGCAGAAATTTTTGGCAAAAGTTAATTTCAGCCATGTCAATTTCGACTGCACAACAGCACAACAGAGCATACTGAGATAAAGACAAAAGCATAGAATTTTCTGCCGTCTGTGACACTTTATAGGAATTCGTCAATCCTTGATGTGACCCATGACAAGCGTCAAATTTCGACCCGGCAGAATGGCTTGTGACATGTGACAGATGAATCAAGTGAAATACTACAGTATACTCAGACTGCTACTGCAAATTCAGACCTCACCTACTAACAGCACCCAGACACTTAACAATAAAAACTCAATTCCAAACTCGACTCTTTGATTTATGCATTTTTTACAATGCTTAATTATGCGAGACAGTGTTCTACATGTTTTAGCATTAACATATTGACTTGATGTTCCGTCTTCGAATAGAAATTGATTTTTTGGTGTTCTGTCACGAAATTGTAATGATTTATCATGTGACATTTGATGGATTCACATGAAGTCTACCTTATGTTGGTTCGAATCTTCCCCAAACCGGTCCGAACCCTGAACTGCAAGAAGTTCTGTCACATTGTCGAAACGTGTTTTGACACTCCCTTCAATGATCCACCTCGGCCTCAGGGAGTCCTGTTCTCACTATGAGCATTAGTCTCTCTCTTCCCTATTCTGTTTCATGCCATGGCTTTATTCTATTCCACTCAGGTACAATTTCAAAACTTAGGAATCCTTGCCGTATGACTCAATTTATAAGTGGTGTTTTCGTCAGCATTAAGGTTTGCCTTGGGTGTGGAAAAACCTGCGGTGTTAGGGTTAGGGGTTGCATGGGTTAGGGTAAAGCACCATATTTGGTACACCGAGGCCAAACCGTGTACACAAACTGCGGTATCATGGGTAGTAGCAGGTTTTCTTGTTGTGTTGCGCCCATCTAGTTCACTCAACTTAAAGCTTGAATATCACTCTGATTTAATTGTTGAAGGCTTGACTTGGCAGCATGTTGATAACACTCCCAGGCTGCTAATTGTTGCTTCCCATGACTCGGACACACACACACCACTAGCATGGTCGGAGTACTGGCACACTACCGCTCAAATCGGACCAACGGTGAAGAGTCAAAGGGTCAATATATTGAAAACTGGCTTCAGAATACTATAAAACGGACACTGGTACACCAGGTAAGTCATTGGAACTTCCTCTCAGTATGGCAAAGCCAACTGATACATCCTCCACAAAGTCTTTGACTATCTCCCAAAAGACAGCACCTATCAAGAACCTTGCACAGAAGAGTGTCCAGGCCATTTCACAACCACTTAAAAAATCCAAGAAATCCATCTCTACAACGTCTTCTCGAGTTTCTACCAGATCTTGCTCATCAACAACGACGCTCCCACACGGTGATGAGAATGATGATGATAATGATGAAGAAAGTCAGGCGGTTGATCATAGCGAGCCCGAGAGCACTGAGCTGAGTTCTGAACAAGAACTTGGTATGTTTATGTGTCATTCCTTTCACTTCAATGCTAATACCTACTAGAACAACTTAAAAAAAACCTGGTGTTCACCAATCTACGCTTTCTTCAAACCTACTGTCATCTTTCAGTACCACGATACACAACCATGTCACTTTTTCACCTGTGCTGCTCCCACATGCAAATTGCATGCTGGTGGTGTTCGCCAATTTCAGAATTCAAAGGACAAGTCTTCAACAGCTAATCTGAAGCATTACACCATTCGTTGCTTTGGTGAAGATTCCATCAATGCTGCCATCAGTGGTAAGGCAGCCTCTGAACGCAATGGCTCAGTTTTTGCCCTCTTTGCACGAAACGGCAAACAGCTAGTCAAGTATTTGCATCATGTTCACACTAACCCAGAATTATGGTATGTTCTTCTTTTCAGTGTACTTTCACATTGGAATACTTACTGTAACAGATAGCGCCCATCTTGTGCGATGGATCACCGAAAACAACCGACCTGTCAACATCATCAATGACCGGGAATTGTGCAATCTTTTGACAGCTGGCCGACCAAATGTTACCCTTCCTTCCAACCAAACCATCTCTCGTGACATCAACATATCTTTTGAAAAGTGCCGGGTGCGCATTGCAAAGTTGCTTCAAGTGTGTCATGCATCTGCTATGTAGTCTTCAGCATTTTGACTAACCTCACAATTACAGGAGCACCCTGGTCGCATTCATTTTGGAACAGATGCCTGGACAGCTACCAATCATCACGCATTTGTGGCATGGACTGCTCATATTGAGTATGAAGGTATCATGCTCGCATTTCTACTTGATATAGTTGAGATTCCTGAAGTGAGTCAATAATATCTAATCATTCTCTCAACTCACCCTTGTTTTTCAGTCTCACACAGGTCCTACATTGGCACGCGCATTTCAAAAGATGCTTGAAGATTTTGGACTGACTCAGAAGATTCTCGCCTTCAATGGGGACAATGCCACGTCCAATGACATGCAGACAATGAAACTTGACCAATTGCCCAACTCGTTTGCCAAAGAAAATCGTGCCTGCTGCTTCAATCACACGCTCCAACTTTCTGCCAAGACTCTCCTACGACAATTCATTACAGCACTCTCTGGCAAGGACGACAACGACAATGCACCAGAAAACCTTGAAGGTGAAGTTGATGAATACGCAATGCTTGAATATGACGAAGGCCAGGGTGAAGAAGATGAGCAGGGTGAAGATGAGCAGGGTGAAGACGAGAGCAACAATGAGGATGACGAAATTGATGAGCTGCAGGAGCTGGGCGAGGTTGAGCAGGCCAGACTGCTGGAAGACACTGCTGCTGTCCGTGACATGGTCACCAAGGTAACATATGTTTTCTTTGCCAACTCTGTCATACACTAACTACAATAGCTCTCCCAGCATGGCGGAAGGTTTGCCATGAGCTCAACCTCAAGGAACGACTTATCCCACACAATGTTGTCACATGCTGGAACTCGACATACAACATGATGAAGTTTGTGCTTGCTTATAAGAGTGTGATTGACAGGATTATGGCTGATAAGTCATTGAAATTGCGCAAGTACGAGCTTGACAATGAGGACTGGGGCATCATCAAAGATCTTGTTGCTGTTCTTGAGGTGCACATGCTTATTTGTTTTGGATTCGTTTAGCTACTGATTCTTCTTTGCATATAGACATACAAAAAAGCAACTCTTTTCTTCTCTCAAGATTCAGCGAGCATTGCCGCTGTGATACCTGCAATGGACAAGCTCGACTGCCGTCTCAACCCTCATACCAGGAACCCATACCATCCAGCCATCAAGGCTGCTATGAAGCTCGCATGCAAGAAGATCAACCGCTACTATTCGATGACTGATCTTTCTTCCTTATACTGAATTGCAATGGGTAAGCATCCGATCTATTTTTATTATCACAGACAACTCACCTTTACTTAGTTCTACATCCTGGTCTCAAGCTTGAATACTTTCGGCAGCAAGAATGGAATGATGAATGGATTAGCCATGCGAAGGAGATCACGAGCAAAGTATATGTCAAACAATATGAGGGAAAATCAAATCCTGTGCAAGTGCTCTATTCCGGCACAACAAATGACTTAGTAAGTTTCCTACTGCAATATATTATATGTTTTTGATACTTATTATCCAGGTCGACGATGACGACTTCACATCCTTCACAAATATTTCAGTGACTGCTGGTATTGGATCTCGGACTAGTACCTCCGCAAACCAGTCGAGAACGTCAAGGAGCCTCTTAAGTAGTGGGTTTCTAACCATCACGGCTATCCAAATCTCTTTCGAATGGCATTGGACTATCTGAGTATTCCAGGTACTGTTTTTTTAACTTTGCATTATAAATTTGCAACTCATTTATTTAAAAACATAGCTACGTCTACCGCAGTCAAATGGGTCTTCTCACAGGGTCACCACTTGCTGTCTTTCACTCGCAACCGCCTTCAGGGTTCATCTATTCGAGCATTTCTCTGTCTCGGCTCCTGGGCTCGTCATGATCTCATCTTATTTGAAGACCTTGTAGCTGCTGTGAAGGCTAATTCTAAGAGGAAACAAGAGTCATCGGATGTCGAGTTGATTGAATAAGCATATTTCTAGCATTTAGTTATCCTTTGTAACCACAGGTTTCAATGACACTGCGGGTTTCATGTGACACCGCTGTTTTGATGGTTTGATTTATACCCCTATTGACTGCAGGTTTCATGTGACACCGTTGTTTTGATGGTTCGGTTTATACCCCTACCCCTGATGGGTGGGGTGTGCAAGGGTATGGGTAGGGTGTGTGAAAATAAAACCCTAGGGTTACCCATAGAAAACCTTATGTATGGAAGCATTCACCTGCTTGCTCACCGGAAGAGGCAAATTCACTGTGTTACTGCCGGTGGCAGTTTGTCTGCCGACTTCTGGGGCAGCCCATCCACAGTCATATGGATCATCCCCTGCCGATCCTCCATCTTTGGATGCAACTATGCCAACATATTCCTCCTCACATTTGAAGAGGCTTCCATCGCATTCATAGGGTTGTCCCATCCACAGTAATAGGGATCTTCAACAGACCCATCCACATGACCAATAACTGGCTCATCGTTCAAAATGGAATGCCATCCACAGTCATGAACATTTGCCGCTGACTCACCCGATTGTTGGATGCCTTGATCATCCATCGGATGATCCCATCCGCAATCATAGGCATCTGCTGCTGGCTCACCCGATTGCAGGATGGCTTGGTCATCCATCAGATGATCCCATCCACAATCATAGGCATCTTCCGCCGACTCACCCAGTTGCAGGATGGCTTGATCATCCATAGGATGATTCCAACCGCAGTCATAAGCATCTTCCACTGACCCACATGATTGCGGGATGCCTTGATCATCCATAGGATGATCCCACCCACAATCATAGGGATCTTCCGCTGACTTGGCTGAACTAGGATCGTCCCATCCGCAGTCGTAGGAATTGTCATACCTTGTTCCGGGTGCTGTCTCCGCATACATAGGTGGAACATTCCCCTCTGGGTACAGTTACTTGTGGAGTCTGGGCAGCATTTCTGAATGTTTGCCGGCATTCCATAGCATACATGTCTTGCACCATTTGTTGAGTGAGGAAAGAACCTTTGGGCTAATGGGAGACTCACCGGCCAGCATACTCCCTATCTCGTCGAAGTGGCTGTTGAAACAAAGGTTGTATACTATGATGCATTGTCCGGTGAGTGAAGGTCATTGCTCTCGAATGAACGAGCTCACCTTGATCCCTTTGTGCGAACAAATCATTAATCTTTTCGTGGTCGGTAGGAAACTCTTGTGTCAAGTCGTATTCTGTTGTTGCACCGTTGTTAGTATTCCGGCTAAGAAACAGCTGTTCTTACTTTTAAACTTTGGATAGTTTTCCAATCCGACAACTCCTTTCATCCTGGGTTTCCTCGACAATGCAGGAGGAGTCCACAACTCCAATGGGATGTAAGAGCCCAACCATTCAATCAGACCCTTATCAGAAGCATGCCCTAGTGCTACTGGACCATCTTTGCTGGCGTGGCTGCTGTAGGTAGAGCAGGTGGAGGGATATCGCCAAGATATGGCTGTTCGGGAGTAAGAAACCTAACTTTTTGAAGGTCATGATAGTCTGGTTCAATGAAGGGAGTCGATGATGATTGCAATACAAATCAACTGGTGCCACTGTGGTAACTCAATGTAGTGGAACAATGGTAGATGTGGCATACTATTACATCATAATGAAATCCATGGGTTGTGCATCAACAGCACTCAGAAAGAGCCACAACCGACTCATGAATATAAATCCTGACCTGTGTGCAAGTTTTTCAAAGTCCACTTTTTGTTCCTTCCATTATACCATAACACCCGTTAACCTACAACACTTTATTTTTTTAATTTCATCATGACACCTGCTGATACAGCTACCGAAGCACTGGATACTATGCTGGCGGCCATGTAATTGCTGATCAAGCGGTGCACGTTGTTGGAGTCTGGTGATCCAGAGGTCCTCAGAATCTCGGATGAGATTGCCAGACATGTGGTGAGTACTTTTTCTTGCTTGCACTTCATTATGTCATCGATATTAACACATTTGCCATAGGCAAAAGACTTAAAACCTCATGGAGGGAATGCGACATCCTTTTCCCTGCAGCTACTGTCATGCACTGCCATTGTGTGAGAGTGCTCAAAGGCTGGTGTTTTTCAGACAATGCCGGATTGGACATCCATGATAGACAATGATCCGAGAATCAAGGGTCACCCGCGGTTCAACAAGATGCTAAACTACCGCTCTCGCGCAGCAGATGAGATTCCCATTCTTTTGGATTCTGAACTGGTAACATCGTCCAGAACTCTTGTGGCCGTCCATTTTGCACCGTTGGCCATAGCGACTCCACCCACCTTGTCTCCTCTTCCCATAGATAGGGACTTTGTCAATAGTCCTTCACAGGCAATTGCACCGCCGTCGCCTTCTCCCACCTCAATGGTGCTGGAACCTCTGACCCCGCTTCCCATGTCTGCAGTTTCTATCCCCTCCAAATATAACCTATTTGTGCCAGGGACAAAGAACGCAAAGACAGCACAAAAGGCCGGAAACAGGAAGAAGAAGAAGGTGGAAGATAACGGTGTGGAAGAGGTGAAATTGGGGAACATACTGAGTGCTCCATCTCGGTTGGGCAAGTCGAGTCAGAAGAGAAGCAAGCATGTATCAGGTGACGAGCGGAATGAGCATACTGACATCGCCTCTGTCATAGAGGTAAGTCTCATTATCCTAGCTCAGGCACTGGTAACCCACGATTCTTAATGTTCCTGCCAATAAGAATGTGGCACCGGAACATTCAGATTCGACCGAGATGGCCAATGAGAGAGGTTTCTGGGATGCAGAGACCAGGGTGTGTTGACTTCATTCCACCTACCACCTACCACTGATTCTGACTTTGATATTGACAGCCCGTTGAATGGGGTAGGGATTCAGCTATCACCATGGCAGCAGAGGTAAGCCAGTCAGTTTGTGCATACCAATCTAAGCTAAAACATGCAAAATTTTCTGTTTGTCACCACCCACAGAACTGTGATAAGTGTAGCAAATTGGGGGTGGCCTGTCTTGTCCTTTTGGACAAGAAATTCAGATGCATTCAACTTGCCTGCGCTAATTGTGATGAAATGAAGGTCACATGTGCGATCAACGGAGTTGGTGTCCAGGAGAGAATGCAAGCGAAAGCCAAGGCCATGGCAGCTGAGGCAGTTGCCAATCCTACCAGATGCTCCAAGTTGCATGCTCCGAAGTCCCGAGTTATTAACAAGATGGTGGTTAATACCAGGTCCTGGAAGACGCCCATGCCATCCAATTGGTCATTGTCTGTAGTTGAGGATGATATAGTAGAACGTGAAGGTGAGTGTTGCTGTGCCACCGATGGTACAGAAAACTTAAGCAGCTTCAGATTTGGCCTTGGCAGGTGAGCCAAAGTACATGGATGTCGCGCTGGCTCAAACAGAGGTTCTGCCAATCCCAACAATGGGCTCATCCGTGTCCGTCGAGCCCCAAGGACAATCAGTAGCACTTGTGAATCCTGCAGAATGTGAGCCGACTGCAAGGGACATCCTGCAGAGCATTCAAGACCTGGGCAGGCGACTTGATGGTCTCGCTACTAATGACAGGGTCAATAATTTGGAAGAACAACTCGATTTGGTGGAAGAGGTGGTTGGGTGGTGGTTGGACGTACTGGAGCGAAAACTCAGATACTCAGATTTGGAATGGAAAGCAACATTGTCATCACTTGGACATTTAACCATGTCCCTTCGGGATCATATGGATGATCTGACTGCACACTGTCTGTTATGCACTCAAATAGATCTGTTATGCGGAGCCTTGAGAGGGGCGTCGTCCGCTAACGTTCATGACGTAACCGAAAGGATACGGTGTAGCAACTGAGACTGGCGATGTCGAGTCGGCAGATATCAAAGACGCGCATGTCACATGACTTCTAAGACAGATGTCTTCAAAGTAAGGACAGTCTTGTCCGAACAGTGAGAGTCAATTGAAGTAGACTTTAAGCACGAAGAGCACTTAAGAAAAGATACTAGAGACTGAAGCTGAGAGACTTCAGAGAGAAGTATGTTCCAGGGAAGATTGAGTAGATTCAAGTTAGAGAATCTTAGTACAGGGTGACCGACTACTTATACTAAGTGGAAAGGGTTGAGGGCAAGGTTACCGTACTGTAGGTAAGGGTAAAGGGGAATCGGAAAGGGTATAGGTACGCTGGCAACAGAGCCGGATTAGTGGTGAGTGGTCGAATGCGGAATGAGACCGAGAAACGTTGGAACAAGTCAACGGTAAGTGATACAATGCGCAGCACGCATGAGTCAGAGGAAAGATAAGACAAGATAAGGAGACCACATTGGTGACATGAGTCAGGACGAGTCATAGCCCGAAGGCACGTGCTCACGTTGGTGTGAGAGAGGGGAGATGAGGGACTGGAACGGTGTAGAAACAACAATACTGAGAGGAACAAAAGAAATGCTCCTGACTGTATCTAAAAAGTTGTAGGTCGTGCGTTGCCTAGTCTGCGATACTTGAGATGGCAAGTGCATTTGACCCTAAAGGGGAAGCAGGTGCAGCGGAGATCTAGGGGTACGCGTTTCAGCGAAGCGCGAGAAAGCACAGGTGCGCGCAAGGTACGAAGGCGCGGGAACGCGCGCGCGTATTAGCGCGAAGCGCGGGAAAGCGCGCGCGTGTAAGCGGAAATAAGAGAGACTAAACTTATGTGAAGATATAAGCAAGATAAAGGATGTGAGATGTGTTGTGCTAATGAATAGATTTCTACTGCGACTTTCTAAGTAGTAAGTACTAGGTAAAGTTGGGTGAAAAGTAAGGTGTGAAAGGTAAGTAAGTAATAGTATGTACTGCTGGCGCTTATATAGCGCGCCTAAGCGCGGTCATGCGGAGCCAAAGCGCTACCGAGTAGGTATGTAAAGATATATATAAGTGAGAATTCATGATAAAAATAAAGGTGGAATGATATGCTAATAAAAGAAATGGAAATATAAGCACTAGGGAGCTTGGTGGACAGTGGATGGATGCATCTGGATGGCTGGCGCTATAGGGCGCGCAAGCGCGGGAACGCGCGCGCGCGTATACATCGTGAAGCGCGGGAATGGTGCGCGCATGGCGCGCGTTGCGCGGGAAAGCTGCGCCTTATATAGGAATCACTGTAGATAGCACACAGAATGATGCTGCGAGTTGGTGCTGTATACTCCCTAGTGGAAACTGCCATATCACGCCATGAGAGGCATGATTCTCTACAATGGTCCCAAGGATCCAGTCAATGGATAATCGGTAAAGGAGGACGAGCCAGTAGCAGGTAAGGACGAGGATGAGGGAAAAAATGATAGGGGGCCAGGTAGCCGATGTTACTTGTAACATTACCCCCATTTCAAGGGATGAACTCCATGAGTTCAATCATCCTGGTTGGCATCCCAGATTGGGTCGAAGTCAAGGTCTTCGAGCCAAGCAGCGGCTTTGATCGCATTCTTGCTTGAGGCGAGCAGCGTCCTGGTCATACGCAGCTTCAAGCTGGCGCATGTCCATATAGAACCTTTCAGAAGAGGTTCCACGGCGAAGGATTTTCTTGCCATCGAGTCGAGGGCAGAAGGGGGTGAGGTGTTTCAGGGCAAATTGCCCACAAATGCGGCAGAAGTATTGCGAGCAGTACTTTTGTTTGTGTCCATAGACATGGCACTGGCGGCAGACAACATTGCTGCAGTAAACTTGGGTGGTCTTGGTGGCATCATGACGTGCGTCGTTGATAGCATCTTCCTGGGCCTCTTCGCGGGAGTAGTGCCTAGTGAAGTTCTGGGTGCGCAGACGACACACATGAGAGAGGGGTAGTCCCAAGGACAGAATGGATCTTGCACAAGCATGGTGGTTTTGGCATTGCGGAGTGGGGAGAGGTTCCAGAGAACCAATGGAAAGATGTGGGACCACATCAGTGGGTACCCAGTTGTCAGGGTTGAGGACTGGTGGTTCAGGGGTGCACTCATCCAGTTCAGGGATGGTGATCGAGATGGTGTCAACATCAAGGATGGGGGAGGGGTTACGTGGAGCATAGAGCTCGCGTTCATATTCCTCATAAAGATGGTCGATCTCGGGGTTCGTCAACTGAGTGACATTGGGGATATGCTCTGGTGATTCGGAGTGGGGCTGTTGGGGAATGAAGGGGGTCGGAGCTCTGTCATAGACAGCACGCTCAATGACTGCAAGTGGGTCGGGAGGGGGATTAAATGCCCGCTCCTCCTCGACGGCCATGACAGCGGCATGGAAGTTCCTAAGCTCTAACAGATTCAGTAAGGTGTGTTTAATCTTGCCTTGGTTATATCTGGTTGAGACAGTGGATAGGGAAGTATCCCTAGCCAGATCAATCCTGGCAATGTCGCCAGTGAGGGCATCAGTAGCCCTGAAGGCATTGACGAGATTCATGGTGATATTGTCGTTGGTGCGGCTGAGGTTGTTGTCGAGTCGAAGTGCATACTGGAGGTCGCAGATAACTGCTTCCCAATAGGCCCGTTGCTTATCTTGGACAACGGAACGGAGAGAGGGTCATCGCCAGATGGCGTACATTGGAGGTGGGGTCTGGTGAGGAGACCAGTCCTGTGGGCCACTATGGCCAGGCAGTGGCTGGTTTGTCAGGTCGTGGGTGGAGGATGACACATGAGAGGTACCGGATCAGCGCGAGGAAACAGACAATGCTGAAGCCGGCATATCAAAGGGGTTTTCCTTGGGTGTTGGCGTAGGTCTGGTGTTGGGTGATGGGTCATTTCTTGTCAAGGGGTTTGGGTTTTGTGGGGCAGTGGTGATTGCAGATCTGTTGGCGATGGAAGGTTTCAGGAGTCGTAGAAATGGGTGTGTCGGTGGGGTCAGCCCTGGTGCAGTGAGGGCAGTATGCAAAGTTGCAGTGGTGTTTGTTGATCAGCATGAGGTGGCAATTGAAGCGATCTTGAGTCGCTTCTTATACGCCTTCAGGAGCTCTGCTGCGGACTTCAATTCTGTTTCGGGGAGCCACGTTCGTTCAGAGGCAGGATAGCCAACCCAAGACACGAGGTACTGGCAACGTGATCCGGTACCCTTGTGTTGGAGGATAGCTTCCATTTCGTAGTGTTCCTCTCCATCGATAAGATTGGGAGGAGGTTCGGTGAAATTTGGTCCATGCACATCTGTCTCCTGATAGGAGGGAAGCTCCGAGGCATGGAACGTGGGGTGAATACGCCAGCTGGCAGGCATTTTCAGCTGGAACATGATGGGGGAGAGGACCTTCTGGATTGGGAAGGGTCCGTATCGTTTTGGGGCAAGTTTCCTAGAAGGGAATTCAGTGATCAGGTTCGTGGCAGATAGCCATACCTTATCACCAACGTTCCATGGCTTGTAACACTGGCCATAGGAACGATCAGCCATGCGCTGTTGGGCGAGGCTATGACATGCAAGGGCTTCTTCACGGATCTTTGCGAGGGATTTGACTCGCTCTTCAGTGGTTGGGAGGGTAGAATCGGGAAAGAGATGAGGGATGCCACGCGGTTCATACCCCATCATCAGGAAGAAGGGTGATGTGTTTCGGGCACTGTGTCGTCGGGAGTTGTGGACAAATTTGGCCATGGGAAGGTGTTTTGCCCATCCAGAGGGGGTTGTCCAGCAGTAGATCCAGAGGTAGATTTCTAGCTCTTGGTTGAGCCATTCGGTCTGTCCATCTGTCTGTGGGTGATAGGCAGTGGAAAGTGTGACTTGGTAGTCGAGGAGTCGTCCTAGCTCTTTTGCTAGCTTCGAGGTGAATTGTGGGCCTCGGTCTGAGATGATTTTATCATAGAGTCCAAAGCGCATGAATACTTTCTTGAAGAAAAGTTCAGCTACTCCTTCTGCAGTGATAGTTTTTCTGCAAGGGCAGAGAATTACCCCCTTCATAAGCCCATGGTCTACCACGACCATGATGGAGTCGTAGCCGGCGCTCTCCGGGAGGTCAGTGATAAGGTCAACGGAGACCTGAGCGAAGGGACGAAGGGCCGAGGAGGGTATCGGGGTAAGGGGAGGGGTCGTCGGGTGAGTGTTGACCTTCATCTGCTGGCACATGGCGCAGCCGTCAACATATTTCCGGATAAAGGAGCCCATTCCAGGCCACCAGTAAGATTTCTTGACATTCCATTCAGTGACAGAACAGCTGGGGTGTCCTGCAGTAGGGTGGTCATGGTGCAAGGAGAGCACCCGGTGCTGGAGGTCAGGGGGGACATAAGCATGATCTTTATAGAAGAGTACACCATCGGTGAACCTCCAGTCAGAAAGTGCGGACTTCATCGGAGGTGTGCACACCCTGGAGAGGGTGTCCAGAGCTGTTTTCACACTCTGATCAGAGGGGTCGTCCGAGAGCCGCTGGAATTTTTCAGCAAGCTCAGTGTCGATGAGGTGAGAGAACATCATGTCGGGGAGAAGGACATGGTCTTCATTGTCGTGACCCAAATCATTATGATCGGGTCGTCGGGATAAGGCATCAGGGGCTGCAAGCTTTGTTCCTGGAACATGGTGGAGTTCCAGATCAAAGTTAGTGAGTGTCAGGTGCCACCTAGCCTGTTGTCGGGTGAGGCGTTGCATGGAGCGGAAGTAGATCAGGTTCTTGTGATCAGTGAAGACAATGACCGGTGTAGAAACAACAATACAACGAGGAACAAAAGAGGCTCCTAGCTGTATCTATAAATGTTGTGAGGTCGCGCGTTGCCTAGTCTGCTATTCTTGAGACAACAAGTGTGTTTGACCCTAGGGGAAGCGAGTGCAGCAAGGATCTAGAAGTGTGCGCTGAAGCGAAGCATGAGAAAGCGCAGGTGCACGCAAGGTGCAGGAACATGCGCGAAGCGCGGGAAAGCACGGGCGCGTATGCAGAAATAATAGAGAAGTTA